CAATTTTTAATTAGATATTATTAGAATTGAAACTTTGTTTTGTAGTCTAATAGTAATATAATTTGTATTTGAGCACCAACAAGACTGTCAAAAAATAAAATAAAAAAATAAAATAAAAAAAATAAAAAAATTCATTCATGTATTAGAATTTTTGATTGATTTGATTATGGTTTGATCTTTGCAAATTAGCCAATCATATAATGAATTGCTTACAGGTGACCCACGAGTAACCCGCGGGTGACTCGCGGGTAACCCGCGGGTGACCTACCCGTTTCTATCTGGGTAGCGAAAACTCTACTCGGGTTACCCATCTACCTGCGGATAACCCGGGTAGAGGCTACCTGAGTCCAATCACTATACTTGCAACCATATATTTACAAACATATTCTTGCAGTTTTGGAATTTTTTTTAGAAATTTTGGCCAAAAAGTGGGAAAATCGGCATACTCTCTTCAAAAGATCGGCAGTGTTTACTTCTTCCAAATTAGGATGTGTCTACTGAAATGGAACCTTCCACGAGCTTATTTGAATTCTGCTTTGTCAAATAAACAATGACGGTGATACTGTTTACAGTATAGAGGATCGGAGGGATCATATGTAAAAATTTCTTAACATTGGACATTTTTTTTTCTTTCTACTTCTTTTTAATACATATAGTGTTAGATTAGATTTTTTTCTATGCAACATTATATAATTTTTACAGCCTAATATAGGCAATAATAGTGTCATCATGTCTGTCTTTTTTTTTGGCCTTTTTCTTCTTGTTTCCTTTTTTATTTTGGTTGTTTTTTTTAGTATCATTTAGTTTAGACCTTCCCCTTTTTTTTAGTTTTTCTTTTATTTCATAATTGTTTTTTCTTTGTTTTTTGTTAGTAGTTCTTCTACCTAGGAGGCTAGAAGAAGAAGGTTCGAAAAGAAGGCGGTTATAACAGGCTGGTGAACCAGATCAGTAATTAGGGGATGGGTTGGTTGAAGTGAAGTAAGCCGAACCTAACTGGGGAGATTGAACTCATCTTTAGCAAGTCATACATAGGTCCAATTGAAAACCGGGTGAGACATATTCCAGATTTTTTGCCATAAGGCATGATATAATTCAGACAATTCCTTCAGAAAATGTAGTACTTCATCAATAAAGCAGGCATGTGACATGACTATCAAATTTTAAATATATATATATATATATATATTTTTTGTTGTTTTTCTTAATTGTTTAGCCTCTTTATATTAAGGGTTTCTATGTAAACTTTCTTGTTTACTATCATAAAAAGAAAGATAAATATTTATTGAAAGAAGGAGGCATGTCCTTCTCTGTGTTTTCTATATAGAGATGGTCTGGAGTTTCTTGTTTCAGCTTGATGTTGTTGTTCCTTTTTTGTTTTTTATTGTTTATAACTGTAATAAAGCTATCTTTATCTGTTTCTATTAGAGTGTTTTTATTTGAATTTTTTAACCTTTCTTGAGATTTGTAAGCTTGAACTGGGTTTTCTAGTATGAGTTTATCTCTTGAAGGTTTTTCTGTAAGCTGAACTAGTGGTGTGTTCAGTTTCTGTAATTGGATATATACAAATTTAGAATCTTTATTTTCTCAAGTTTGAAAGTTGTTTGGTTCTTCTATATCTGTTTTTTCAACAATAAGAGCAGTTAAAGCTACAATTTCTCTTTAGTTGATTCCTCTGAGGTTAGCACTAGCTCCTCCTTTTTTGTATTTGGCTATGCCTTTAGTTGGTATCAATACTAGTTTATTTTGGGCAGCTTTCTCTAACAATTGCTTAATTTTTGAATTCTGGAGAGTCAGTTTTTTTTAATTGTGCCTTATTTAAAAATCTGAAATGTTCTTTATATTTTCAATAGTGCTCCTGAAGAGCAAGTGATTTTTGAAATTGTTTATAGTCCTTTTTAATATGGCTTTCTTGATTACAGAAAAAGCATATACTAGAGGCTAATTTTTATTCAGTAGTAATCTTGTTGTTATCTACATAAGTAAAATATGAAATTCTGTTTTCTAGATTAGAATTATCTGTGGTTTCGAAAGTAATGATCTACTGATCTGTTAGATATGGAGTTCCTTTGATCAAGAGAGGTTTGATAGAGACAATTTTGCCTATATCTTCAAATACTTCTTTGATTAGATCAGGCACTTGAGTTCTATCACCAAGTAGAACATTTTTGATTTTGACTATCAATAAAGATTTACAAGCATCTGTAGAAATATATCCTATATAAGTTCTGTTAAAGATTTGGACCCCTTTTGTTGTGTATTCTTTAAGAAGGTCCTGGTTAGTGAATACAATTTCTAATTGGAAGTATGAGCTCTTCTTAAAATATTGCTTAATTGCTACAATATCTTTTTTTGCATTTTTATATAAAGAGAAGATAATTTTATTGAAAGAACTTAGCATTTGTAAGATATCAATGATAAGAGCATTGTTGTTTTTAGATTTGATTTGTTTTCTTGAAGAATAGGTTGAATATATTGCTTAACCTCTTTTTAATTTAAAAAAAAAAGTTGACCATTGTTTTGAGGAGTTAAACTGTATGTTTCTGTTCTTGGAATATTGTGCAATATCTCTACTTAGAGTTGACCAATAAGAGTTCTCATCAGATATGTGTACTCCTGTATGATTGGTCATGTCATGTGTGAGATCTAGAACTTTCTCAAACACATGTTTTGTTTTGTTGTTTTGTGAATCATTGTTGTTTTCTTGTTGGGATGTGACTGAATATAGTCAAAAATTCTAATTGACATTTCTGTATTTTTAGTAAAGTTGATAGTAGAGCTCATGTCTATTGTCTTGTTATCAAACATACTGAGTTCTGTTATATTCTCTTTGTTAGTGTTTTCAGAAACCATTTCAGAAATTTTGAGTTTTTTGTATATTTGCTCTGTAGTTAGAGCTTGGATATGTTTTCTTTTTGTAGGTACAAGGGCTTTAGCCCTGTTGGGCTTGAGTTAGATAGGTTTTTCTTTTTGTTTAAAATGACTATTTTGTTTTTTATTAAAAACTCTATTCCTGCCAAATGTGTACAAAAAAGAGTTGTGTAAATCATTATTTGAATTTGATTATTAGATGGCTAGAAATTTTAATTTTTATCCATAAAATCTACATAGTCCCGTAAGGTCATTTTCAAGGCAAAGACCCCATTGAAAATAATCAGTCTTCAATGCCTTTGAAAATAAAAATAATAATGATTGATAAAGTAATTGACTATATAAAGACATATGCTTTAAGGCAGTTTACTGCTTAATATTCATTTCGTCATTGTTGTTTGATTTACATTACTTAAATCAACAGAAAATACGTAGGTTTAAATAGAAAATAAAACAAAAGAATTTTACAAATTTAGTACATATTAAATATGTTGCACAAGAGCTGACTCGAAAACGAAAATATTCGTGAGGAAACATCTCGATCAAAAAATGAAATAATAAAAACACGCAAATAAATTGAAAATTTAACACTAACTCTGCATATAAAAGGTAAGCAGTATTAGTGATTATTCTGAATAATTGATAAAATACCAAAAATCATTCCAAATCAAATATTCCTTCAGTGTCGTTAAGCATCGCTTTTACATAAATAAATAAACAAATAAATAAATAAATATAAATTGATTTAACAATATGAACAGATATAGATTATAATATATTATGAAAATTTTTACCCAATAATTGCATAACCTGGCTGGCAGGTATAACCAAAACTCGACCACCCCAATTACTAAGGTTACCACTTTCATTACTCGCCTCTGTCTCATTTCGTTGTATAATATCAGAAGCATCAGAGATATCATTTTCTTCGCATTCAGGGAACCAAATCTTTACGTCATCGTCAATCCCAGAAGTGCATAATATGGGAAATGAAGGATGAGGTTGAACACAATTAACGACTTTCTGTAAATTAGAAACTTAATTAGGAAGCAAGTTTACTAAAGGGAACGAAAGGATAAAATAAGAAGTTAGTTACCGAGTCACCCTTCAACAGATTAACCACTTTGCCAGTATATCGATCCCATATAAATATTCGGCCATCATCTGAACCAGACATAATATATTCAGAATTGGCACCAAAGAAATAAGCCTCTTTAATCTATACAAAATAATCGAAATAATTAGAAATCATCAATAAAGTTCACAAACGACGATAATTATTAATTGAATAATAATAATAATAATAATAATAATAATTATTATTATTATTATAAATGACACGAACCATAGTCCTAGAATTAAGATGCCCACTATAAACTCTAACAATATCCTCATCATGAGCTTCACTATCATCAAAATAGCCATCGGAATCATCATCAGAATCATATATGTTATCGTCGTTAGTATCATCATCATCGTCTACATCTTCCAGACGTACATTTTGCGACATGCTGGAAAGGTCCTCGGGTTCAACTTCAGGTATCGATGATGGAGTTGAGTCACCATTATCATTATTACTGGATTCAGGTATAGAAGTATCAACATCCATTTCATCATTCTTCAAATCAATATCATTATCATTAATAATAATATCTTTAGGTTTATTATCAACAAGGTCAGAATCAACGACTTTATTTCTTTTTTGCTTTCTTGATATTCTAAAACCGCCATTTCGAGGTTTGCAATTGTTATTAAAACTGCTACCAGGTCTAATTAAATAAACTTTTTCACTACTATAACTAATACATAATTCACCACCACCATTTGGATCAAATTTCATACTAGTCATTCTATGACGATTAAATTCATCTCTTCGTTGTTTTGTGAATCATTGTTGTTTTCTTGTTGGGATGTGACTGAATATAGTCAAAAATTCTAATTGACATTTCTGT